ATGACTATGGATCAAGAAACAGTTCAAGTTCAGTCTGCTATAAGGCGAGTTACTGTTTTAACTAGAGATATTGGTGAAATTATTTCTCCATTCTAGTTTAATTTCACCAGTATCTTTTAGTTTTAATCATTTTCTCTTATGAATTTATAATAACTAATACATAATAATTATTGATTTACAGTGTAGAAAGGTATTCGAAGAAGTCACCTCGTTTTTATCAATATTGCATCAAGCGCTTCTTAATCTTAATCATTTTATATCAGACCGGACATATTGCACGTAATTGTAATTCGAATGATGATTATAATTCTAGCTTCACATCTAAAACTTGCTATGGCTGTGGTGGTAATAATAACGTACAATCTTTGGTGATTATTTAATACTGATTCACATCTAACATTTTCTTTTAATGCTTTTAACGGGTTTAATAATAGGGCATGGACATCTTCAACGGTATTCTTAGTTTATAGTTACAATTTTATTTTTAAATAATGATTACTTAATGTTTTTATTCTTTCAGTGACTGTATCAAGGCTCAGAAATGCTACAATTGTGGTCGATCTGGTCATCTTAGTAGAGACTGTGACTCTCCTCAAGGATCTAAAGTTTGTTATAATTGTAAAGAGGTATGAATCGAAATGCGTTTAATTATCATTCTTGCTCGTAATAACTCATAATTTATTAATTAGGAAGGACATATTCGAAGAGATTGTCCTAAGGTTGGCGCAGATTAACACTATAAAGTTATTGATGTCGTTCATTTGATATACATATATATATTATCGAATATTGGAAACTCGTAAACAAAAGGTTGCTTGTAATGAAAATTGTATTTTTGTATAATTTTGTACAATGCTCGCGCCGTATGAATCAATAAGGGCCTTTTAAAATGTATTTCAATAATTTTCTTGGATTCAGTATTACAAATATTGATATATTCTGTTTGTTATTTGCTAAACTATTCAAAACTTTTATGATGATTCAAATATATCTTACCAAGAATTCAAGATATAATGTGAAATCATGGTTCAATGAACAAAGCCTTTTCCTTTATATCCTTCGGATGATATACCGGTTATTGGATCAGCTTTCTGACTACGCATTTTTTCGTTAGTGGCTTCCTGCCATTCTTTAGTTAAAGTTCTCGGTTGTTCGGGGACTTTATGCACAGAAGAATATTTATATTTATGTTTATTATAGAATATAATCGTTTATAATTGCTGAATAAATAATGTCATACCTAATACTTTGGTAACATAAAGGAATGCGAGAGACGCTGCGAGAACACCGCCAATTCCGATAATTACCTTACCCGTGTGACCTGGTCCCATAAATGGTTCTCTTGGACCATGAGGTCCAAACGAAATATAATAAGCTGAGGGTGTTGACTTTTGGTTAATAAAAAGTTATAAAAATAATTTTAGGTAAAATAAATATGAAGTTTTAAGACATTGACCTGCTCTTTTATCGTCAACGGAAAGCTTATTCCAGTCCTGCTTTTGTAAGTCCTCAAGCTTCTTTATAAGACTGGATTTTTCAGCTTCTGATAAGGCTTTCCACTGTGTTTCTATGTTGGCAATTGTAGGATTAGAAATTGTTGAAGCATTTCTATAATTGATTTTTTTAAAGATAGTAGAATTGAAACGACTGGCAAAGCGAAACATTATTGTAAATCTAAAAAGTACTAAAAAAAAAAACCAAGGTAACGATCTGAAAATTGATGATAATCTTGATATGTGCTTAATTTGATAAATTTTTGGTATCGGGTATCCAATTAGCAACGATGTACATTTTGACTGTTCCTTTTTAATAAAATATCGATATACGCAAAATTATTTAAGAGTTGAAAGAAGGCTATCTCAATACAATTTTGAGTTATTACTGTAACATTTTTTAAATCTCAATTCTGTCCCAATTTTGTCACAACCGTCCTGTGTGCAAAACTGCTATTTGATGACGCTTAATGTTAGAGGGAAACGAAGACAAGGACGATGATTTTCTGCGGTGAAAAACTACCAGTTCCGTCCGTGCAGTTGAAATATCTAATGTTCTCAAGAACATTAAAATATTTTGAGATCATAATAATTAAAGTTTATATTCTCATTTGAGGACATAAAATTTGTATATAATTATAAAAATATTTTTCTAGGAACTTTTGAGAACATTAGAAATTTTTTCGAGATCCTAAAAATAAAATTTATGCTAACAAAAAATTTCACTGCGTTCATGATAAATTTATAAAGTATATTTCGTAATCAGCATTTGGACTATGCCCAAAAATGATTTATTTGGACATGGATTAATCCCCATGGCCATATTTTGTGCAATAATTCTTATCCAAAAAAAATCTTTAAAATTGTTGTAGTCTGATATCTTTCAAAAAAACATTTTGAAAAAAATCACTCAAATTTGATCATATTTTACACTTGACTTTTTATTTGAAAGATTTAGATTACCAGCAAACATATACGTATATACGTAGACTATAGAAAGGTAGATATGGCTTAAGAAATTAATATTAGCATAAACCCATAATATATTGTGGGTATCTAATAATTAGAAAAATGCAAGCTAAATTGAACTTTGGTTTTTAATTTTGAAAAATTTTACAATAAATAGTGTATAAAAATACAGTAACTGTATTTTTATACACTATATTTATTGTTAAAATTAAAAACCAAAGTTCAATTTAGCTTGCATTCTTCTAATTATTAGTAGTGAACCGCCTGATCCGGGTCAACCGTCGGTTGAGTAATAAGCCAACCGGTTGAGAATCGGTTGGTTAAAAGTCAGACCATTTATAGATAACCAAGCAATTTTATTTTTTTTTCCTTAAACGTTTATAAGCGTTGAAAGAATACTATCCAATTTAGAAAACTTGTCAGAAACCAACGAACATAAGTAGGTTTTGGTCAAACTAAATAGGTTATATCATAAGGTTTGATAGTGTTTCAAGACCATTTATATCCAATATATTTTTCGCCAATAACGTTTTTTGCATTTTCGTTATTGTATTTTTTTGATCTTGCAAAAAAAAATCAAAACTTGTATATATAAAATTAGAATCATATGCAATTAAGACTTTATATGTTTACAGCTTGGCGTAGCTGTTCTTTTAATATTTATTGCTTATTTATCTCATAGAGGCCAAAAAACTATTTTATTTGAAGGTTTCGTTTGTTCTTTACGTCACTTAATAGCAAGTTTGTGTAATGGTTTATCGAAAAAAGACCCCTAAAAATCAAATACGTTCTTCGTTCATCGATTAGAGTACGTGTTTGCGCATCTGTCCACCATTTCTTAGTGAAACCTTGATATGATAATGAGTTCGAAAAAATTTGATACGAAAACATCAATCGTTATTCAACCAGAGTTTATATTCATTATAGAATAATTAATGTTTTACTGAACCAAACTTCAACCAGAGTTCATACTCAAAAATTATTATATCCAACCCGAATTGGTATTACGTCCGAAATTTCGTAACAAAAATTAATCAAAAAAACGACGAATAAGTGAACTGGGTCATTCAAAAAACATGTGGATGTTAATCTATTTAACTATAAACTGTTTAAATTGGTGAAATTATAAACATTCTTAAGCACCTTAATTAATAGTTAAAATATATAAAAAAATATGTTGAGAATTAACTTTAAATGATAAAAATGCTTATATATCATTGAGATATATAAGGCATCCACACTGGCTTATCAAGTTGATACGTAACTACATATTATAGTAAATAAAATTATTGTTAAATCTGCTTCCCTACTTTTATTGATGTATTAACTATTCTTATAATTTTTTTTATGTATCTGCAAATACATTTAATAAACTTAGAATCTATTCGAGCACTAATTAAGGTCTTGTTTTGATCTATCATAGAAATTACTGTAACAGTTATACTTGTGTATACTTCATGATTTTATCTAAAATGTTATGAGAAAACTGTAATTATATCATACATATGGGCGGATTTTTTTGTGTTACTTTCAAAAACGATCTAATTCTGGTCAAATTTGCAGATCATTTGGCCCTGACTTATCAGTTTTAAAACTAAGCCAGGGCCAAAGATCTGCAAATTTGACCACAATTCTTTCCTAATCTTGTCTATTACCTCTTGAGATGGATGACTTTTGTCGTTTTTGAAAGTAACACAAAAAAATCCTGCTTGAGATCAACATATATAAAATTCCTTTTATAATATACTAAAGAAGACTGCATTTCTGGTTTTATCACGACAATGTCGCGCGGCTACTTTATTTAAAAACCGGTTTAAACCCGATACGTAATCCGATTTTATTTACAAAGTCAAATTTAAATCCGATATATCGTATATTTTTTATTAAACTGAATATCCGGTTATAAACCGTCACTACGTGCATTGCATGATCAGCTGTAAGATTTTTAATATTCCGATACTCAACCTTGGCGGCTGTATTATTGTCTGTTCCGGTAAAATTAGAAAAATGGGTTCCAATATACAGTCAACAACATTAGAGAAAAGACTTCATTCTTCAAAGGAAACCATGCCGGATTTTTTAAAAAAGTATTTCATGTTTTTATTTCATTATTTTGATCAATCGTCTCTATACGATTCCTTATTCATATTTTTTTTTTTACCCATTTAAGGTATTGGAACCAACGCACCGTTTTATTTACTAAATATAAGGAAGGCATTCTTATGGATGAAGGTGTAATCGCAACTATAATTAACTATAGGCTTTCATTTGTAACTACAAAAATTTACCATAATTTATTAATTGTATTAGAAGGATGGTATTCGGTCACACCAGAAGACATTGCTATTCATATCGCAGAACGTTGTCGTTGTGACGTAATTATAGATGCATTCTGTGGTGTCGGTGGAAATGCTATACAGTTTGCTTTTACGTGCCATAAAGGTAAGATTCGTATTCATTGATCGATAATGATTAGCATTAGTTTATCTTTTGATCGTTTTTTGATTGTTGGATCCTTCTATAGTAATAGCAATTGATATAGATGAGACCAAGCTGATGTGTGCAAAACATAATGCTATGATATATGGTGTTGCTGATCGGATTGAATTTATTTTGGGTGATTACTTGGAGCTTATTCCCAGATTAAAGGTTGTTTCATAAATAACGCGTATTAGTCTGTTGCATTGATTTATATTAATGACGTTTTTATTCCATTTCACAGGCTGATGTCGTATTTTTGAGCCCTCCTTGGGGAGGTAAATGCCATCAAGGAATTCTCTCAACTCATCAAAACTTGTTAATTTACCTGCCATTTCATCTATAATGCAGGTCCAGATTATTTATCTGCCAAAACCTTTGATATAAAAACTATGATTGCATTGGATGGGTAAAAGACTTTCTGACATTTTTTTTTGTATTTACTTAAACTTGGTATGTTTCTTTACGATTTCTAGTCAAAATTTATAGTGAAAGACTATATCGTGAATCATTAAAAATTACAAATAATATCGCTTATTATCTTCCTCGCAACGTAAACATCCAACAGGTGTGAATTATTTCATTTATATCTATAATTAGAGTGGAACTATTTAAATATAATCACTAACACGTATATGTGTCAAGATTACTAATCTTGCAGGTAGAGGAAACACGTGTGAAATACAAGAAGTATACGTTAATGGAAAATTGAAAACAATAGTTGTTTACTATGGCGAACTAGTAAACGAGGATTGCGGTGAAAATGATGCTTAAAAGAAGGTATGTTTATATTATTTTGTTAGGTGTCATTCTTTGAATAAGATGAACGTAGTATGTAATCCTTAATAGTTAATCGGCTGGGCTAGGTGCTGAAAAAAGGGACGAAATTTACAAAAAAAATTTTTTGAGCTTAACTAATCTAGATTAGTCTAGAAAATTTTTTTACTTAAGGAATAAATGCTGTTATCTTAATAAATTTTGCAGTAGAATTCTTTTAAAGTTTTTATTTTCTCATAATTTATTATAGAATTTATAATATCAATTTTTCGCAAAACTTTTTTTTGTCAATTTCGTCCCTTTTCTCAGCACCAAGCCCAGTTAATGTATTGCAATAGCAATCTTTTGAAGATGTATATAAGCTGCGTATTGTCGCAAGACGATTGATATAACATTTTGGACTGGGCTCTCTAAACAAAACTTTCTCATTCGCTCATAAAGAAAAAACAAGATCCATTAATAAAGATCATCTATAATTCGTTTAATTCATTAATCTTAATTGAATGCACGTTGATCTCATTTTAGGTTATGTTCTGAAAATTAAGCACAATCATAATTTAATCTGGTGACTTGATATCGTATAGTTGAACAATTTTTTGATACTTGAAGTTGTTCAAATATACCATTTATTATTGGAAAATAATGTTACAACAAGAAATGGTAAAACTTCTGTTGCAAGAGAAGATGGTACTGCGGATTTTATAGAAACTTATATCCCTGATGTCTCATCACCTTTACCAAGTAAAATCCAAGCACCTGTGTCACCACTGACTCGGTACCATATTCTGCTCTGTATAAAAGAACGATTATTTTCACATTTCAATACTAAGTATGGAAGATTCTTATCGCCAAGAGGATTTATGATGTCGTTTGAACACAGAGGTACTAGACTAACACTTAAACCTAAAAATTCCGGGCTCTATATACGTGAATTCCACCTAAATCTTGTTTATCCGAACGTCAAAAATATAATACATAAAATCAGCCCAAACGTATTTCAGTAAATAATAAAATGATATATAGTAGCATTTGTGATTTAGCGACTATAATTATATTGCCATACCTCACCTGTTCAAATGTATGATTAAAAATTAGATTTGAATCTGCTGATACTAACGCTAATAATTTGGTTCATATATAAACAGAGTGCCTAAAAGCAGAAAGATATTGCTAAATGTTCGATCATTTCTTGTGGGTAAAATTGATAATACGCCATAGGAGTGTAGCAACGCGTTCAATTCTGCTCACGACTATTATCTTCAGTACCGTATATTGCCGAAAATAAGCCACCTCCGAAAATAAGCTACCTTCCTTTTTTGGAAGAAAAACGTAAAAACGTCTTATACCCGAAAATAAGCTACTTAATGATCGTCGGTAGTTACTCTATAGTAAAGTCAAATTTTACTAAGTAAATCGACATAGCTTATTAAGTGAAAGTTGTTCAGAAGATCAAAATACATATATTTTGAAAGTTTCATCCAAATTTGATAACTTTTTATTAATACATTTTTGCATGTTACGTTCGACGAATTTTTACAAAAGTCAATTAATAAAAAGTTATCCGATTTATATGAAACTTTCAAGATATATGTATTTTGATCTCCTGAACAATTTTTACTTAATACACATGATTGATTTACTTAATAAAACTTTTCGTAATTAGCAAAAAACACTTTTACCCAATAATAAGCTACCTGTAAAATTTTTGTGTAACTTTTGGCCAAAAATGGGGGACGTCTAAAGCTGTGTCCAGTCACGTGTTTTTAGTTTTTAATTAAAGTTAGGGTAAGGGTTAGTTTGGGGTTAGGGTCAGGGCATGTCTTATAGTAAAATTGTCTTCCCGACATTTTTTATTAATGCACCAAGATGGGTTTAGACTATTGTTTCTTGTATTTTTTGCGATTTTCACTTTTTTTCGCTGTTTTTTGTCTCTTCGGGCTGATCCGTGTCAATCAAAATAAACAATTCTATTGGCTTTAGGTCACGTGATAGACACGGCTTTAGACAACCCCCAAAAATAGTAGCTTATTTTTGACCATATATGGTATTATTACTTTGAATAAATTATTATTATTTGTCATAATTTTTGATTTGTTTTTATACCAACCAGATGATATTACTGTATAATATATTCTATTCAAAAGGTGAATAATCTATTTACAATTTTACTTAGAAGTATAAAAACTGTTATTTTAATAAAATATTTTTTAACTTAAAAGAATAAAATATCATCAATTATATATATAATTTATAAATTACTGTATACTCTTTATTCTTAAAGTTTTATCTTAATTTTGTTTTGATTTTGCTTGTATTTTATATTTGTTAATTTAAAATATTTTGAACTTTAAATTTGTATTTGTTTTTATAGCAGATTGAATTAACTACTAGCAATAATATTTTATATTTTATATATATACAAATTTAATCTCAAATAATACTTTTTTACAAATTATATAAAGTTAAAAGCTTTATAAAATTTTATAATATTCAAATCTTAAATTTATAGTAGTATTTAAATATTGTTATAGTAAAAAATTTACAATAAAGTTTTTTAATTTTTTTTTCTACTTTGGCTATCTTGTCAATATTCTTTATTATATTCAGTTTGTTAATGAACAAAAAACATATTACATATATATAATATTAAGATTTGACATTCTGCAGTTACTTCTAAGAGTATTTATAAGTGATTAGTTATACTAAACAGATGAATCTATAAGAGATATATCATGCTAAGTTTCAAAGAAACTTAACTATCTCAAAAAGCTTTGTTAAACCACCACCCTATAATAGAATATTACTAATTTAATGATATCTTCTTATAAAGAAGCAGAAAAAAAAAATAAAACATTAAAACTAATATTAAAAAAGAAGAAAAAGAGACAAAATGAAAAAAAGAATTTAACAAAGCACAATTATAAGCCTGTATTAGGTTTTAAAAAATTACATATTACAAAATAAAGAAGCTTTGTATCTAACTCTATCCTAATAATATAGTATTTATATCAAAAACCTGTTAAAAAAAAAAAGGATTATAAATTAAACTAGAAAAATTAGACAAAGTAGTTTAAGATAGTCTTGAAGTATTGTTGGTGGTTTACAGAAATCGAGACACAGTCACTATTGTATTGTCTTAGTTACCTGTTTTTTCTGCCTATCTGTATAATATTTTATTCTCCAAATAATCCTCTGCAGTCTATTGGTTTATTAAAGTAAACAAATGATATAAATAACTGCATTAAGAAATTAATAATACTGACTGTTTTGATGAATTTATATATTAATCTTTTAAAGAAAATAAATTAAGATGCTCACTTTTTGACAAAATTTTTTCAAAAAAAAGTATTGAGTCAACAAAGCTTTTCTGTAGTTATTCTTTATAAGTTTTATGATTGTATATTGATAACTAAAAGTCTTAGCATCTATCTTGCCATTTTGTATTTTTAGAATATTCTTAGCATCAATCTTATCATTTTATATTTTTAGAATATTCTTCTGGTTTGAATGTTAAATATGAAAAGAAGTCTACTAAAGCAGCAAGCTTGACCTCTACAAAAACTGTAATAAGTAGTCTATTCCTCAGTTTTATACTCTTAATACTTCATTGACAATATATCTATTTGTGTAGAACTAAGTTTATTAAATAACTTTAATATCATTTTATCACGATTAGGCAAATTGTCTAAAAGAAGAACATCAACTTGGTTTGTGATCTTAAAAGATTTAGTAATTAGTCATATATGTACAAGAATACTCTATAACCACATTCAACTTTCTAGCTCTAATTACTATAGTTATACAACTAGACACTTCTCTATATAATCAAAACCTTGAATTATAACTATATTTAATAATCAAATTATTATAGGAAAAATATGTCAACAGCTTATACCAAGTGGCTATATTCTAATTATATATTGAAGCTGTTCTATTAAATCCTAATTTATTCAACTTTATCCTACACCTTTAATAATTCTCAGACTATATACAAACTGCTTTTTAAATTTCTAACTTATTACAAATAATTGTACTATCTTAATTCTAATTAATTTAGCTACTAAATTTCTTGAACGAATTAATCCACATGACAAAATACTTAACCTTAATGTAAATTATTTAGATCTCTTATTTTCTATTGCTATATAACACCCTCTTCAGACCCTAATAACAACTAATATTTTAATTTCTACTTTATCTATTTCATTACTTTTTAAAAATTGTCCTTTAATAGAGACTCTACAAACTATTGCTAACTACAATTCTAATCTACCAGAATTTTCATTTTATACAGATGGCTCAGTAATATAGTTAGGCTTATCTCAATGCTCTATAGGAATTGAATAAGCTCAAATTCAATATAACAGAGTTTAATATATCTATTAAGCACAAATTAAACTTTGGCCATACTTATTTAAAGCTGAACTTTTTGCAATACTTTCTACACTCATTACAGCACCAAAAAACTATATAGTATATATCTATACAGATTCACAGTTAGTAATTTCTAAATATAACAACACTAGCCAAGATTTACTTGACTTAC